TTTCCAGAGAGTAGGTCACAGCGACCATCAAGACAGTTAACATTGCATTGTTTATTACATATTTTCCCATGGAATTCTGTGTCACATGATGAGCAAATGCTATTGGAGGAACAATTTAAACAGTTTACGGGACATTGTTGACAGGCTCGTCCCCAGTGCTTTCCAATACAGTCAGAACAATTTGTCAATGAGAACATGCCAAACAGGTAAGATGACAGCCTTGGTCACAGAGATTCCCGAACATACCGTCGATACATCTATCACATTTAACCCCGGTAAATCCCTCCTTACACCTTGGACATTCCCCAGTATAAGTACACTTTTTATTTTCACAGCCTATGGAACACGAATTAACGCAGCCGTACTTTCCTATCTCACAATTATCACATAGATCACCTTTAAACCCAGTTTTACATTGTGTACAATTATCGTATGTTGTACATGATATACAATTATCTCTACATTTATGTTGACAATTGTAGGTTACAATATCGCTCGATGGGTATTGTCTCCCATTGTAATATCCATCATAGCATATGCTACAGTTATAATAATATGAAGTGCATGAAATGCAGTTGTCCGGGCACGATAAACTACAATCTTTTGTATATTTATTATTTTCTGGATGACGACCAATATAGAAGCCCTTCTTGCATGTGTAACAACGGTTTACACCAGAACATGTCACACAATTGTTACTACAAGCATGCATACAACTGTCACTATGATATCCATCAATACAACCATCCAAGCAAACACTGTCTTCATTGTTGTTGTATTCACATCTTGAAGTTCCATTTATGCAACAGTTACATCTGCCACATTCATTGAATGCTAGAACTTAAAGATATAAAGGAAACAGTGAAAATTACTAAAATGTTACTGCTTCTAAACAACGGTGTATAACACTTCAAAAAAGTTGATACCAAATCTATTTTAACTTACTATAATTTTTTATAAACATCTGACAAAAATTCTGATCAATAATGAAAGAACTGAAATATGTTTTTTCACAAGAACAATATGCAGAGTGACAATAAATGCGATAGATTCTATGAAAATAAATAAATGTGGAAGTCACGATAAAATTGTAAATGAACATAAAAGATATGCAGGGCGTAGTTGGGCAAGCTTTTAATGGAGTTCTTTAATCTAATGATAAAGCACGCATACTAACCGAGTAACATGTAATGAATGTGAATGTATATATAAAATATTTTTTCTATTATATTTAAAATGTGTGAAAATGGGAAATAAAGTGTAATAGTAGTTATTTAACTTTAGCGTAGACATACATATACAATCTTCAAGTGTTTAGTCGAAAATGCATTATCATTTCTCTTCATGCATGTTATAGTTACAAAACATTTTATTTGATATTATACACCATTGCTCAATTCAAAATGTGTACATAAGAGTCAAATAAAATAAAATAATCATCGCAAGTGTTTACTTATTTAATGTACATAATTACGTTTTACTAACAATTTAGAAATGTTTATACACAAAAGTGAACCTGTATGTCGTGATGTATTTGATATAAAAGTAGTCATATGCTGATTATAATAATGTTTAAAACATACCTGTGTCACATAAAAGTAAAACTAGTCCCAGCAAAGTTTTCTTCATTTTTATATCTCCAACATTCATTTGCTCATGTGTTCAGAATAAAAAAGACCTAAAATGACATCAATATTTATCCATAACATGAAAGCGGTTGGTTTGAAGTCGCAGCACACACGAAAGATCATGTTTCAATTAGACCCGTGGTTATATAGCACATTGTTTATAATTTGACACGTGGTTATATAACACTTTGTTTTCAAATGAACAACGTGTTTATACAACACTTTGTTTTCAATAAGACAACGTGGTTATATAACACTTTCTTTTTCAATGAGACAACGCGGTTATATAGCACATTCTTTTCAATTAGACAACGTGGTTATATTGCACTTTGATTTTCAATTACACAACATTATTACATTACTCTTTGTTTTTAATTAGACAACGTGGTTATATGACACTTTCTTTTCAATTAGACAACGTGGTTATATGACACTTTGTTTTCAAATAAACAACGTGGTTATATAGGCATCTTTTAACAATTTAAATAAAGATTGAAGGTCAGCGACGATTTCGAAATGGATTTACAAATGTTTAAGGTAGAGGTATTATAAGTGGAAGAAATATAGAATTTAAATCAAAAAATATCTTTTGTAATTAGAAAGAAAAAAGGAGAGAGAAAAAGTATGCATTTAAAGGAAGTAATCTCATATTTACCTGGAGTTTATCACATGAAAACAATCAATAAGTCTTTGATAATTGTATGTTTACAGTAAACACTCAGATTTCTCACATATCATTTATCAATATCAAAAAATATCATCATCACATTTATTAGGACGAATGTTTTGCTTTGATTTCAAATAAAATTTGTTCAATAAGGAAGTAGCTTATGGTTCAGTAAATTTTAGATTTACGAAACCAACAAAAACTAATTTTAAAGTAAATTGTTGTACGAGATTCATACTAAATAATTGATTCCGCATCATTGAGAACTTTCATGAAATCATCTTGACTGTAACACACCTTCATTTGAAAAATATTTTATGTTTAACTTATCTATTACTTTTCACATGCTTTCAATATATAGCACCAGCCTCGTATCATTGTATTAACATTAAAAATTCAGAAAAAAAAGACACAAAAAAGCAACAACAACAACAAAAACAAATTAAGTGTTTGGTTAACTGCTGGCCTTATGTAAGTATAAAGTATATCAAAAATGATTTGTTTCATCTTGTAAAAGATAAAAAAAACGGGATCATGCTCATATAGTATATGTTAGCAATTCACTACACACTGGGGGCGTCCGTGGCCGAGGGGTTAACGTCGTTGACTTCAAACCACTTGCCCCTTACCGCTATGGGTTTGAATCCCGACAGGGACTTTGGAGTCTTAAATGTGAGGAAGCTATCCAGCAAGCTTACGGAACGTCGGTGGTTCTACTCAGGTGCCCGTTCGTGCCTGAAAAATGCACGGAGGGGCACCTGAGGTCTTCCTTCGCCAATAAAGCTGGAACGTCGCCAAATGACCTATACTGTGTCGGTGTGACGTAAAACCCAAATCAAACAAAAACTACACACTGAACTAATTCTTTCAAGAGTGAATATTGATGGTAAAATAATAACAAAAAGGAGATGATTATGCTTTTAACTCAAGTTTACCCAAATCTATACAAAAATGTTAATTTGTTACGCTCCAGGTAAGAAAATGACCGTGACGAAAATGCGTGCTTTGTATTAAGCTCACGCAAAAGCAATTCCACAACAAATAGAACCTTTGTAAGAGTTTTTACCACATTATACCATTTCTTTTTAATTTAATTTTAAGAAGCAATAATTTTACCGAGACGTCAGTTCAAGAGATTTACTCCACAGGAATTGACGGAAGAACTAAATAAACTTGCTGGTTATGACAGTTACAAAATGAGAGCATGTTAATGATTAAAATTGTTCACTTAAAACATTCATTTTTAGTTGGACAATTCAAAGAATTCTTTTGTTCTCACACATCTGTTGTTACACTTTTGTGAAGTTCCTGCGTGCAAGATCTGCAGAAGGGATTGTGTTGAAATTTCACACACTTATTTGGGAGGTCACTGTATAAGGCCCATTCTATTATGGATGTTGACGGAATTATGGCCTTTTTTGAACTCTTGAAAAATTTACATAATCTAGGCTCTTGTTTTACTATAAAGCACTGAAAATAGACGAGCATGCTTTTCTTCTGTTTGAGAAATACGTACTGTCATAAGTTTTGGATCATGTTCTCGGTCCATATTCTGTAAAGAAAAAATGTTCGATGTCGCACCAGGCCATGATATTTCCACATAAAAGTCTCGTCGCTATAACTATAACTTGTGGAATCTTAAAGTGATAAATATTTTTATGAATATAAACATTATTATAGAAACAAATTATATAATACGAAAGCTTTACAAAGTTCAATACTTTCAGTTTGGCATGTCCAAGTTACATATCCTTTATTAGTGAATTGTTTATCATACAAGTAGTATCCGCTCTGCGTCAACATTTTTATGTTCTCGGGTCTTTTGGCATTTCTAATGCTAGCATAAGCTAGTTAGCCCTGTCATTGTGGTGATCAAAAACACTTTCAGACAAAGCTACGAAACCTTAATTGTTCCTGTGCGTTGGCTATTTAATGATTATATGAAAGTGATCCGTAGCTATATCACATATGGATCTCTTCAGCACATATGGAGCTCAAAGGCAATTTCAGGATTTTTTTTAACCAAAAAAAGATTAACGGAACTACATAGAAATTGGCCATTCTCGATATTCTTGTTTCTTATTATTAATGTTATTTGATGTTTTGCTTCATGCCTCGCAACTAAACTGTTACATTTTGCAGAATAAGCTTTGTAAATAATTGTGAAACGACCAGAAACCCTCATTTTCATTTTAGAAACATGACACGCGCTTTTCACTGTTAATCTTCAAACGAAATCTTCAAACTTTGCTGTTACACTTTAGAGGAAAGTCCTGAAATATCTCAAAGGTGACCTTTTTTGTTTACAAAATTAGTGTTGTTATATTTTTCTGATCCTTCGGGATCATTGATACCAGCTTTATTAAGTATCGAGTCTTGAAAACTGCTCAAGCCGGTGCTAGGGAGTGTGAGGGATGTTGCACTAATTCATTATCCCTCATGTATAGACTCAATCAAACCGAGTCTACAATTGTCATGTAGATTTGTTGTGATTAATGCTTCCATGCTTCCGAGGGATAACTTTGTTTCCAGATTTTTACACGTATTAATTAGTCAACGTCGTTCCGTTAATACAAAATATCATGTTACAAATTCAAAAAAAAATCCGAAAAGTAATCCTTGAGACTATCTAAAAAAATTTGTTGTTGTTGTTTTGTTGGTTTTTGTTTGTTTGTTTTTGTTGTTTTTGCTTTTTTGTTTGTTCCTTTTGTTGTTTTTCTTTCTTTGTCAATTAGAAAATTTCCATACAAAACATTACTAAACACTTCTTTATTTTGCCGATACATTGTAGTATTGGACTCCAGGATCTAATTGGACTGTGTGATCATTCGGCAATTCTGATGTCGGCACATCCTTGTAAAACATAAAATATAGATATATCATGAAAGGAAAGTGGAATACATTTATATATACTTAGAAAGAGAGAGAGAGTTCTAAAGTTTCGTAAAATTTTCAATAAGCATTTTGCTCGCATGTGCAATTGATAGAAAGACTAAATGATTTATTGAATGTTATTAACATGATCAAACATTTATCATCAAAACATACCTATAACTTCAAAGTAACAGAATGTGTTTAATCGTAAAGAATTACCTGTAGCTGTAGAGAACTATAATCAGCCAACCGGTTTGAACCAGCAGTGGTTAAACTTTCATAAACAGTTGTAGGTTGGATAACGTCAGCTTGTCTCGTGTCTGTGTCAGTATTGGCTGCAATGGTTACAATTATGTTTAAGTTTCCGTACATAAAATCACATTCTGCACACTTTTAAATTCAATAAAGAATTGAATCTAAGTTAACATATTTCTTACTATAGTTTGATACAAATCGTACCCAAATTAAACCAAGATATAAACTATATGATGAGACGTTGACTTTCCATAGCAATGGAGCTTTATCACAAAAATATATGTTTGTCGAAAGGTTAACTCGCTACTTTCCGACTAAAATTGGACAATATCTCTGATCTTTATTATTGACTTGCAAACATGTTGATAGGAAGGTTTTAATTCCTCAACTTTATTTTGTTTTTTATATGACCCCAAAGCGCCCATTATCGGCGGTGGCAGAATTGCTTCTTTTTTCAATAAAACTTCCTGTTTTTATCAATTCTCATTCGATTTTCTTCCTTTAAATTTTATAATGTTCAGTAGACTATGCCTTTAAATTGATGTCTTTCTATAAACTTTGCTGAATATACTGCGATTTTACGGTTCATTTCCCTCCGTACCTATACATCTGTTGAAAATATCGTGCATTGCATTTTATTTGTTTGACATGTAAACTATAGTTAAACGAATTTATGATGCAAAGTTATGATTCAATGATCAAAAGAAGATTTTTTTTGTTATAACAACCTACCTCCAAGAAATACATTATTAATATTGTAGTAGTTCAGGTCTGTATTGGATCTCAAAGCAGTGTTGCTATTCTCTAATCTTTTGAGTCTACAAAATTAATAAAGAATAACAATAGTTTTCTGCATAATATATACTAGGCAAATCTTACTTTTTTTATATAAACAGTCACCGGAAAATCTTTGCACCAATAGGATTGTGGCAAACTTCACTACCATTTAAAAGTGACCTAAACATTTATGAATCATTTCACATGATACATTTAGGGTTAATTAACAATAATTGACTTCAATTTAAGCTTTATTTATTTGCTTTCTCGTCTAAAGTTACACTTTAAAAATTTTGTCCGGGCAAATATCAGCTGAATCTAAGAAATGTCACCCACCCGGAAAATTTGAAATTCCAATCGGATTATTTTGCAGCATTGTCTATTTATTCAATTACATTTTCTTATTTTATATAAATTGTGGAAATGTTTCACCATATGCTAAGTATGTATTTTTATGTACTTTCCTGTTGAAAAAGCGTTAATTTGAGCATTTTCTTTTGAACATCCAATTGCATTTTTTCCATTTGTTTTAACAGGAAAAAAATCCGATTGGAATGTCTCCTAGTGGAATTTTTCCTACTGATTTTTTTTCTCAATATATTCTACTGGAAATATCTCCTATCAGAATTCATTCCAATTTTACAGAAATAAAAATTAAAAATCCAATTGGAATTTTAAAAAGAAAGAATAATTTATATAAGGTAGGGTGATGTATTTCACACAGCATTGTTGAAACAATTTCAGACATTTGTTCTATATACTGTATATCCGCTTATACTAAATCATTTTGGATTTTGTTAGTCACATTTCAGCTATTTCTGTTAATATCTTGCGTGACCATCAACCGATTTGAATTTGTGAATTTGATTAGGAAATGGATCTGTTTGATGAAAAAGTTATTCCTTTCTAGCAAATACCCAAACCGAAAAATATCTGATAGGTACCAAATAATGTATACTTATGTAACACTTATGTCAAAATTAAAAGTATACATGCTTCCCTTATCTTAAGGTCGATTCTTGAAAGAGGTATTGCAAAATATATCTCTGTTATTTTTAGAGTAAAAGTCCTGAAAAAAAAAATATGATGCTACAAATTTCTTCACGTGTCAAATTTTATAATTTATCTAAAACCTTTGATTTGTTATATAAGAACATCTTTTAAATAAACATTTTGTATTCCAAATATTTGTGGTAAAATTAGATTTGATGCAAAGTAAACGTGTTTGAGATATTTTAATAATTATATGCTGCCATCTTATTCACAAGTTTCCGACACTAGATACGTCGATATGCCGCAGATATCGTGAAATCCAAGCTGATTGCCCGTTCCCTGTTTTCTATACTTATCTGTAGTTTTGCTAGAAACTTTACGACAAACATTTTTTACCAAAGTAAAAATTAAAATATAAATATGGAATGAAACAATTTGCACGTATAAAAATCGCGAATGCCCTCAGGCATTTATTCGTTTAACGTGTAATTTATTAGATTGCATACTGTGTAACATTTTTAGAAATTTGAATTTGAATTGTGTCAAATTTGTGTCAAAGTGAATTGAAGGTTTTGTCTGGTCAAATTCAATTGCTTTGAAAATAAAAAGTCATCTAAAAACAATTTCAATAAAAACAGAATATTGAAGATTTTTTCCAACTGATAAATTTCATAGCGAATCAGACCTAACGTAAAATATTGTAACGGTCTATGGGTTGCTTTATATTCGTCCGTTGTTCAGGATAATTTCATTTCCGATTTATTGAATTAAGGATATAAAACTAAAGGCATGACTTAAAACATATATTTATTTCATTTATGTATTAATGATCTTGTATTTACCTTCTTGTCAGGAGGACCACAGCAGCAACAAGTACCAGTATTATTATCAGGAGAATGACACCACCTACAGCAGCACCTATTATTATTCCTTTAGTGTCTTCATTTCCAGGCGCCGAATTTATAGCTGTTGTATTAAATAAAACAATAAAATACATAACATATGGAAAAGTGCAATGTCTTCAATTGTTTTGTTAACTTATTTTATCTACATGTGTGTAATAACAATTATTATCCTTATTACTACTAGTATAACATTCAGTACATCTTCTGCAACAAAGAAACAGACATACCTGATATAAATTTATATTATAGTATAGGTATATGGTCTATAATTCATTTATTGATATTAATAAATGTTTGAAATGTCATTTTTTGCCCTGCTTTATTAGCCAATCAAATAACTTCAAATGCGGGCTTTATATCTATATCACTTTTCGGCCCGGGGCCGAAAAAGTGATATAGATATTGGCCCTGTTTTAAGGCAGGCTATTGTGTTATTGAACGTGGCAGGTAATTTTTTTATAGGACTAATGACGTATAGTTATTTAATAACATGCTATCTTTATTTCAAATTGAAAAAATATTGTTGTTATTACTATTGTTATTATTGTTTTAATCGGTAAAATTGTTATAATTACTCTTATCATAATTATTATTATTGACTCATTCACTTACTTGCTTGCTTAATGTGTTAGTTTGTGTAAGATGTTATATTGTTTACTAAATAGAAAACATTTTACCGTTGTGTCCTGTATTGCAATTCCCATGTATTCTGTCACATATTAAATTCACACAGTCATTGCTGCATTTCATATCACAAAAGTTTCCGTAAAAGCCAGCGACACATCCGTCATTGCAGTTTCCAGACAATAGGTCACAGCTACCATCAAGACAGTTAACATTGCATTGTTTATTACATATTTGTCCATGGAATCCTTTGTCACATGATGAGCAAGTGCTACTGGAAGAGCAATTTAAGCAGTTTGCGGGACATTGTTGACAAGTGTTTCCCCAGTGCTTTCCAATACAGTCAGAACAATTCGTCAATGAATAACATGCTAAACAGGTAAGTGGGCAGATTTGCTCACAGAGATTCCCGAACTTACCATCGATGCATCTATCACATTTAACTCCGGTAAACCCTTCCTTACATCTTGGACATTCTCCACTATAAGTACAATTTTTATTTTCACAACCTACGGAACACGTATCAACCCAGCAGTACTTTCCTACCTCACAATTATCACATAGATCACCTGTAAACCCATTTTTACATTGTGTGCAAACATCGTATGATGTACATGATATACAATTATCTCTACATTTATGTTGACAAGTGTAGGTTACAACATCGCTCAATGGGTATTGTCTCCCATTGTAATATCCACCATTGCATATGCTACAGTTATAATATGAAGTGCATGAAATACAGTTGTCCGGGCAAGATAAACTACAGTCATCTTTATATTTATTATTTTCTCGATTATGACCAATATAGAAGCCATTTTTGCATGTGTGACATGTGCTTACATCAGAACATGTTGCACAATTATTACTGCAAGCGTGTCGACAATCGTAGACTACAACATCGCTTGATGGGTATTGTCTACCATTGTAATATCCATCATTGCATTTGCTACAGTTATAATAAGAAGTGCATGAATTACAATTGTCCGGGCACGATAAACTACAATCTTCTGTATAATTAACCAGATTACGACCAATATAGAAGCCATTTTTGCATGTGTTACAACTGCTTGCACCAGAACATGTTAGACAATTGTTACTACAAGCATGTATACAACTGTAACTATAATATCCGTCAATACAACCATCCAAACAAACAGCGTCTACATTGTTGTTGTATTTACATCTTGAAGTTCCATTTATACAACAGTTACATCTGCCACATTCATTCAATGCTAGAACTTAAAGATATAAAGGAAACTAATAACTAAAATGTTACTGCTTCTAAACAACGGTGTATAACACTTCAAATAATTTGATACCAAATCTAATTTGATTTACTTAAAATTTTCAAAAACATCTGATAAAAACTCTGATCAAAAATCAAAGTATTGAAATACTTTTCTCACAAGAACAATCTGCGGGGTGACAATATGTGCGATAGAGTCTATGAAAATAAATAAATGTGGAAGTCAAGACAAAACTGTAAATGTCTTTTGAGTTCTTTAATCTTTAGATAAAGCACGCATACCAACCGAGTAACATGTAATGAATGTGATAGTATATATATAAAATATCTTTTTCTGTTATACTTAAATTAGATGTAAGGGAAAAAGTGAAAAATATTATTTTGTTACGGCTTCTAAACAACAATGTATAACATTTAATATAACTTGATACTCTCTTTTGACTTATTTAAATTTTTCATAAACATGTGATAAAAATTCTGATCAAAATTAGTATTAAAACATGTTTCTCACAAGAACAATCTGCGGCATGACAATATCAATATCTGCGATAGTTCTATGAAAATAAATAAATGTGGAAGTCAAGATAAATTAACTTAATTTTAAAATATGCTGGGAGTGGTGTGTGCAAGCTTTTAATGGAGTTCTTTAATCTAATGATAAAGCACGCATACCAACCGAGTAACATGTAATGAATGTGAATATATATATAAAATATTTTTTTCTATTATATTTAAAATTTGTGAAAATGGGAAATAAAGTGTAATAGTAGTTATTTTACCTTAGCGTAGATAAACATATACAATCTTCAAGTGTTTAGTCGAAAATGCATTATTATTTTTCTTCATGCATGTCATAGTTACAAAACATTATTTGATATTATACACCATTGCTCAATACAAAATGTGTACATAGGAGTCAAATGAAATAAAATAATCTTCGCAAGTGTTAATTTATTGAAATTACATGATTACGTTTTACTCATAATTTAGAAATGTTTATACACGAAAGTGAACCTGTATGCTGTTAGGTATGTTATATAAAAGTAGTCATATGCTGATTATAATATTGTTTAAAACATACCTGTGTCACATAAAAGTAAAACTAGTCCCAGCAAAGTTTTCTTCATTTTTGTATCTCCAACATTCATTTGCTCATGTGTTCAGAATAAAAAAGACCTAAAATGACATCAATATTTATCCATAACATGAAAGCGGTTGGTTTGAAGTCGCAGCACACACGAAAGATCATGTTTCAATTAGACCCGTGGTTATATAGCACATTGTTTATAATTTGACACGTTGTTATATAACACTTTGTTTTCAAATGAACAACGTGTTTATACAACACTTTGTTTTCAATAAGACAACGTGGTTATATAGCACTTTGTTTTTCAATGAGACAACATTATTACATTACTCTTTGTTTTTAATTAGACAACGTGGTTATATGACACTTTCTTTTCAATTAGACAACGTGGTTATATGACACTTTGTTTTCAAATAAACAACGTGATTATATAGGCATCTTATAACAATTTAAATACAGATTGAAGGTACGCGACGATTTCGAAATGGACTTACAAATGTTTTAGGTAGAGGTATTATAAGTGGAAGAGAAACATAGAATTTTAATCAATAAATATCTTATGTAATTACATGTATTAAGAAAAGAAGAGAGATAAAAAGTATGCATTTAAAGGTAGTAATCTCATATTTACCTGGAGTTTATCACGTGTTATCAATCAATTAATCTTTGATAATTGTATGTTTACTATCAACACTCAGATTTGTCATATATCATTTATCAATGTAAGAAAATATCATCATCACATTTAGTGGGACAAACGTTCCGCTATGATTTTAAATAAGATTTGTTAAATAAGGAAGTAGCTTATGGTTCAGTAAATTTTAGATTTACAAAACCAACCAAAACTAATTTAAAAGTAAATGTTGTATGAGATTCATACTGGATAATTGATTCCGCATGATTGAAAACTTTCATAAAATCATCTTGACTGTAACACACCTTAATTTTAGCAGTATTTCAAGTACAGTCGAACTTCTTTCGTCGAGAGATCGGTAGTTCGAGCCAACCGAGGTTGAACTATTATTACGTATTTATTACATGAATAACTTAACTTTTATTTTTTACATGTTATCAATATATCACCAGCCGCATATCATTGTGTTAATATTAAGAAAAATCAGGAAAAAAACTAAAACAACAAAAACAAGTGTTTGATTAACCGCTGACCTTATGTCAGTATACAGAATATAAAAATGATTTTTTCCATCTTATCAAACAATTGTCGGCATCATACTGATATAGTACATGTATATGTTAGAGAAATAGCTGTTAACTACACTATGAACTAATTCACGTCTTTAAAGAGTGAATATTGATGGTAAAATTGTGACAATATGAAGATGATTGTGCTTTTTACTCAAGTTTACCCATATCTACACTATAATTTTGATTTTTACGCACCAGGATTTCAAATTTAAATACTAACTTGATATATAAACCGTGGACGTTTTGATATTTCAATGTATTTAGTTTAAACATATTTATTTCAATATTTTACATATTTTACATTTTATGTTACATAAAATTGAAAGGGTTTAGAATGAAAGAAAATGTGTATGGTTCCTCTCCCTTCAATGTGTTTGCCTTGAATGAATTCAGTCAAGACTAAGTATTAAGTGAGCAATAAAACAATGGAATGCTCTAAATAAAGACGAACATTTATGCTTCTTAAATAATGAGAAGCGAGCACTGGCATCGGACCTCAACAATATAGCCGATTTCTAGCTTGGTTTGAATTCCCAGCTAGGTTTGAATTTCGAACCTGGTTTGAATTTCGAGTCAGCTCGTAGATCGATATATATTAAAATCGTGTTTACTTTGACCTTCGAGCCAGCTCTGAGATCGAAAGTTAAAATATTTTGAAGATTAATTTCGAACGAACGTTGATCTTTGATCGAAATCAAAACATCTCACAACTTAAATTCTGGCTGAAGTTTGAAGTTCGAGGCAATCCGAAGATCGGAATTCAAAAGTGTTATCAATCTAATTTCGTGCTTGAGTTGAATTTAATAGCAGCTGGAAGATTTAAAGTTTTGAAACGCTCAATTTCTAGATTGGGTAGTACATCATATATTTTTGTGGGGATTTACGTCGCCACGACACAGTAGAGGCCATATGGCGATTTTCCCGCAAAGTTATCCTTAAGACCATCTTAAATGTTGTTGTTTTTTTTTTGTTTTTTTTTTTGCTGTTTTCTTTCTTTGTCAATTAGTTAATTTCCATTCAAACCATTCCTAAACACTTCTTTATTTTGCCGTTACATTGTAGTATTGGACTCTAGTATCTAATTTGACTGTGTGATCATTCGGTAATTCTGGTGTCGGCACATCCTTGTAAAACAAAAAAATACAGATATTTCATGAAAGGAAAGTGGAATATATCATTTATATACTAATAAAGAGAATGAGAAAGTATATAAAAAAGATATTTCTTGACAGGAAAGTGCAATACATTTATATATACTTAGAGAGAGAGAGGGAGAGTTCTAAAGTTTCGTAAAAGTTTCAATTAGCATTATGCTCGACTGTACAATTGATAAAAAGACTAAACGATTTATTGAATGTTATTTCTTTTATCGAAACATACCTTTTATTTTTAATTAGCATTATGCTAGGATGCACAATGAATAAAAAGACTAAATGATTTATTGAATGTTATTTACATGATCTATCATTTATCATCAAAACATACCTATAACTTCAAAGAACTAAAATCAGCTAACAGAATGTGTTTAATCGTAAACTTTTAGAAATATTACCTGTAGCTCTAGAGAACTATAATCAGCAAACCGGTTTACACCGGTAGCTGTTAGACTTTCATACACAGTTGTAGGTTGGTTAACGTCAGCTGGTTTCGTGTCAGTGTCGGTATCATACACAGTTGTAGGTTGGTTTACGTCAGCTGGTATCGTGTCTGTGTCGGTAGTGGCTGCAATAGTTGCAATTTGTTTAAGTTTCCCTTGATAAAAATTCACATTCTGCACACTTTTATATTCAATTTAGAATCTTATCTTAGTTAACATATTTCTGACTATAGTTTGATACAAATCGTACCTAATTTTAACCAAGATTAAAACTATATAATGAGACTTTGGCTTTCCATAGCAACTGAGCTTTATCACAAAAATATATGTATGTTGAAAGGTAACTCGCTAGTTTCCAACCAAAACTGGACAATATCTCAGAGCTTTATTATTTGACTTGCAAACATGTTGATAGGTAGGTTTTAATTCCGCAGCTTTATTTTGTAAAGAAAGAATGTTAATATGACTCAAAAGCGCCCCCTATCGGCGGCGGCAGAATTGCGTCTTTTTATCTATAAAACTGTCTGTTTTTATCAATTCTCATTCGATTTTCTTCGTTTACATTTTATTATGTTCAGTAGACGTATGCCTTTATACTGATGTCTTTCTTAAAACTTTGCTGAATATACTGCGATACTACGGTTATTTTCCCTCCGTACCTATACATCTGTTGAAAATATCGTGCATTGCATTTTATTTGTTTGACATGTAAACTATAATTAAACAAATTTATGATTCAAAATTATGATACAATGATCAAAAGAATAAATTTTTTAATAATTCAGAAGAAACAAAAGTTAAAAAGGTAGTATATAAACAACCTACCTCCAACAAAGGCATTATTAATATTGTAGTAGCTCAGGTCTTTATTGGATCCCAGAGGAATTCTGCTATTCTCTAATCTTTTGAGTCTACAAGTTGCATAAAGAATAACAAAAGGTTTCTGCATAATATATACTATGCAAATCTCACTTTTGAATATAAACAGCTACCAGAAAATCGTTGCAGCACCAGGATTGTTGCATGCTTCACTACCATATTTTTATCATTTCACATGATAGATTTAGGGTTATTTATAATAATTGACGTCAATTTAATCCTTATTTTTTTGCTTTCCCATTTTGTGCCCTATCTCCTGTTTAGCATGTTCTTCATTGACAAAGTGTTCTCACTGTATTGAAAAGCACTGGGGAAACACTTGTCAACAATGTGAGATAACAATGTCCCGCAAACTGCTTAAATTGCTCTTCCAGTAGCATTTGTTCATCATGTGACAAAGGATTTCATGGACAAATATGTAATAAACAATGCAATGTTGAGATAGGGCACAAAATGGGCGCAATTTAATGAAACACTTCTAATATGTTACAAGTATAACTCTAAGTAACATGTACGTAACATCGATGTAACACATATAAAGGCTGTAACCCATAAGGTAACTTATATGTGTTTTGAAATCAGTCGTAAAAAGTAAGTAGAAATGTTCATTTTCAAGGCTTGTGCTGTAACACTTGTAACAACCTGTAACATTTGTAACAATTATGTGTGAAATTTTCATTTTATTCTCAACCTTCGTAACATTTGTAACAATACTGTAACAACTATGTAACAACCTTGTAACATCTATGTAACCTTATTAATTCCGTTTTCTGACCATTTTTAAGGCTTGTGCTGTAACACTTGTAACAACCTGTAACATTTGTAACAATAATGTGTGAAATTTTCATTTCATTCTCAACCTTCGTAACCTTTGTAACAATGCTGTAACAACTATGTAACAACATTGTAACATCTATGTAACCTTATTAATTCCGTTTTCTGACCATTTTCAAGGCTTGTGCTGTAACACTTGTAACAACCTGTAACATTTGTAACAATTATCTGTGAAATTTTCATTTTATTCTCAACTCTCGTAACATTTGTAACAATACTGTAACAACTATGTAACAACCTTGTAACATCTATGTAACCTTATTAATTCCGTTTTCTGACCATTTTTAAGGCTTGTGCTGTAACACTTGTAACAACCTGTAACATTTGTAACAATAATGTGTGAAATTTTCATTTCATTCTCAACCTTCGTAACATTTGTAACAATACTGTAACAACTCTGTAACAACCTTGTAACATCTGTGTAACCTTATTAATTCCGTTTTTCGACCATTTTTAAGGCTTGTGCTGTAACACTTGTAACAACCTGTAACATTTGTAACAATTATCTGTGAAATTTTCATTTTATTCTCAACTCTCGTAACATTTGTAACAATGCTGTAACAACTATGTAACATCCTTGTAACATCTATGTAACCCTATTAATTCCTATTTCTGACCATTTTAAAGGCTTGTGCTGTAACACTTGTAACAACCTGTAACATTTGTAACAATTATCTGTGAAATTTTCATTTCAATCCAAACTTTCGTAACACTTGTAACAATGCTGTAACAACTATGTAACAACCTTGTAACATCTATGTAACCTTATTAATTCCGTTTTTCGACCATTTTTAAGGCTTGTGCTGTAACACTTGTAACAACCTGTAACATTTGTAACAATAATGTGTGAAATTTTCATTTCATTCTCAACCTTCGTAACCTTTGTAACAAATGGCAAGTGTTTCATTAAATTGCGCCCATTTTGTGCCCTACGTGCTAAACAGGTAATAGGACAGTTTTGGTCACAGAGATTCCCGAACTTACCATCGATACATCTATCACATTTAACCCCGGTAAATCCCTCCTTACAGCTAGGACATTCCCCAGTTTCAGTACACTTGTTATTTTCACAGCCTACAGAACAAGAATCAACGCATCCGACACTCCCATTCTTCCCTACCTCACAATTATCACATAGATCACCTGTAAACCCAGTTTTACATTGTGTACAATTATCGTATGATGTACATGATAAACAACTATCTCTACATTTATGTTGACATTTGTTGGTTACAACATTGCTTGATGGGTATTGTCTCCCATTGTAATATCCATCATTGCATTTGCTACAGTTATAATAATATGAAGTGCATGAAATGCAGTTGTCCGGGCACGATAAACTACAATCTTCTGTATATTTATTATTTTCTGGATGACGACCAATATAGAAGCCCTTCTTGCATGTGTTACAACGGTTTACACTAGAACATGTTAGACAATTGTTACTACAAGCATGTATACAACTGTCACTATAATATCCGTCAATACAACCATCCAAGCAAACACCGTCTTCATTATTGTTGTATTCACATCTTGAAGTTCCATTTATACAACAGTTACACCTGTCACATTCATTCAATGCTATAACTTTAAGATGTAAGGGAAATTGTGAAAATTATTAAATTGTTACTGCTTCTAAACAACGGTGTATAACACTTCAAAAAAGTTGATACCAAATCTATTTTAACTTACTATATTTTTTTATAAACATCTGACAAAAATTCTGATCAAAAATGAAAGAACTGAAATATTTTTTCACAAGAACAATATGCAGAGTGACAATAAATGCGATAGATTCTATGAAAATAAATAAATGTGGAAGTCAAGATAAAATTGTAAATAAACATATAAAATATACAGGGAGTGGTGAGTGCAAGCTTTTAACGGAGTTCTTAATCTAATGCTAAAGCACGCATACCGACCGAGTAACATGTAAGGAAAGTGATGTTTATATAAAATATTGTTTTCTATTATATTAAAAATTTGTGAAAATGGGAAATAAAGTGTAATAGTAGTTATTTTACCTTAGCGTAGATACACATACACAATCATTCAAGTGTTTTAGTCGAAAATGCATTATCATTTCTCTTCATGCATTTAATAGTTATAAAACATTTATATTTGATGTTATACACCATTGCTCAATACAAAATGTGTACATCAGAGTCAAATGAAATAAAATAATCATCGCAAGTGTTAATTTATTGAAATTACATGATTACGTTTTACTCATAAATTAGAAATGTTTAAACACGAAAGTGAACCTGTATGCTGTTAGATATGTAATATAAAAGTAGTCATATGCTGATTATGATGATGTTTAAAACATACCTGTGTCACATAAAAGTAAAACTAGTCCCAGTAAAGTATTCTTCATTTTTATATCTCCAACATTCATTTGCTCATGTGTTCAGAATGAAAAAATACCTAAAATGACATAATTCTTTATCCATAACATGAAACTGATTGATTTGAAGTCGCAACACACATTAAATATCATTTTTCAATTAGACACGTGGTTATATGACACTTTGTTTTTAGTTAGACAATGTGGTTATATAACACTTTGTTTTCAGTTAAACAATGTGATTATATAACACTTTGTTTTCATTTAAACAACGTGGTAATATATCACTTAGTTGTCAGTGAGACTACTTGGTTATTTAACACTTTGTTTTCAGTTAGACAACGTGGTTATATAACACTTTGTTTTCAGTTAGACAATATGGTAATTTAACACTTTGTTTTCCAAAAACAACGCGGTAATATGACACTTTGGTTTCAAGTAGACAACGTGGTTTTATAACAATTTGTTTTCAGATAAAGATTGTGGTTATATAACACTTTGTTTTCAAAAAGACAACGTGGTTATATAGACATCTTTTAACAATTTAGTTAAAGATTGAAGGTACGCGACGATTTCGAAATTGATTTACAGTTGTTTAAGGTAGAGGTATTATAAGTGGAAGAAACATAGAATTTTTATCAATAAATATCTTATGTAATTATTTAGAAAACAAAAAGAGAAAAAAATATGCATTTGAATAAAGTCACCTTATATTTACCTGGAGTAAATCACGTGTAATCAATTAATAGTCTTTGATAATTGTTTGATTACTGTCAACACTTTGTCATATATAAGAAAATATCATCACCACATTAAGTACAGGACAAACGTTCCGCTATGATTTTAAATAAGATTTGTTAAATAAGGAAGTAGCTTATGGTTCAGTAAACTTTAGATTTACAAAACCAACCAAAACTAATTTAAAGGTTAATGTTGTATGAGATTCAGACTGCATTATTGATTCCGCATCATTGAGAACTTTCATTTAAATCAGCTTGATTGTAACACACCTTCATTTGAAAAGTATTACATTTCACATGTTTTCAATATATCACCGGCCTCATATCATTGTGTTAATATTAAGAAAAATCAAGGGAAAAAATACAAAAAATAACAACAACAACAAAAATAAGTGTTCGATTAACCGCTGACCTTATGTCAGTATACAGTATTTAAACAATATTTTTTTTTTCCATCTTGTCAAAAAAATGTCGGCATCATACTGATATAGTACATGTATGTGTTAGAGCAATAGCTATTAACTACACGCTAAACTAATTCACGTCTTTAAAGAGTGAATAATGATGGTAAAATTGTGACAATATGAAGATGATGATGCTTTTTACTCAAGTTTACCCATATCTACACTATAATTTGATTTTTACGCATCAGGATATCAAATACTAACTGATATTTAAACCGTGTACGTTTTGATATTTCAATGTATTTAGATAAAACATATTCATTTCAAATTTTACATATTTTACATTTTAAATGTATATAATTGTTTCATTAAATTGAAAGGGATTAGAGCGAAAGAAAATTTATATAGTTCCTCTCCCTTCAATGTATTTGACTTGAATGCATTCAGTCAATACTATGAGAATTATTTTGTTGTTTTTTTTTTATTTGTTTGTTTCATTTAACGCCTTTTTCCAACAGTATTTCAGTCATATAGGCGGGTAGTTTCCTAACCATCGTCCCTGGAAAGTAACACCAGTACTAGACTACCTTCCTCCGCGCTAAACCTATAAGTATTACATTTAATAACATGTGAGCAATAAAACAACGGAATGCTCTATGAAAAACTTTCATTTATTCTTTTTAAATAACGAGTTGCGAACTCTGACATCGGACCTCGACAATTTAGCTAATATCGAGCCAGGCTTGAATTTCAAACAAGCTCGAAG